TCTCCGTCTTATTTCGTAAACATGGGAACCAAATCGAGTTTGATAACGACTCTGCTTGAGCTTCTTAATGACCCTGGTCAATCTGGAGATGATGCTGCCTTGGGTTTATCTTGTCTTATTGCGGAAAAAGAGGATTTACAACAGTTAGCTTACGAGGCTGATGCGATCAAGAATATTGTTGACATCTTGAAGACAGGTAGTGAGCTCCAGCCTAGACGTCTTCAGGGTTTGTTTTTGTCTCTAGCTGAATTGTGCTCAAAGCTGGAGGATTGCAGGTGTAGCTTCCTGTCATTGCAGGTTTGTTTCCACATGCCGTTTTCTGATTTGATATTCGGTAGTTTAGTATTTATTTTTTATCTGTGCTAAATTGGTTTGTCTTGTTTTCCTTCTACTAGGTGTTAGACCTGCTGACTAATGCGCTAAGACACAAAGATGCTGATGTAAGAGCTGCGGCGTGCATTTGCTTTAGAAACGCCGCTCAATCAGTCAAGGTTAGTTCACATTATACATTTAGCATGTTATTAGTAATTCAGTGGGTTTTGTATTAAGTGGTAAGTTCCCTGAGAAGTGTCATTTAGAGTTTGAGTGCAGGAAGATTCAACAGCGATCATGCTATGCTTCCTTTGGTTCAGTTATTGCATGATCCATCTTCCTCTGTCCAGGTACTGTGTCATATAAGATGCCGCATTTCTTTGACTTAGTTTCCGATGTGGTTTTCTTCTTTAGAAGCAAACGACATAACCGATTTGAATGTATATGTACCTATATATTGTGGAGCAGGTTGCAGTTCTTGGTGCTCTGAGCAATATAGTATTGGATTTTTCATCACCGAAGTCATCTTTTATCGAGTATGGAGGGATAAAACAGCTTATTGAGTTATCAAAATCAATGGATCCAATTGCTCGGTGTAGCGCTTTACGGGCTTTAAGGAACCTCATGTTCCTTGCCGACAATAAACGTAAAGAACTCTTTTATTCAGACGTCAAGGCTCAAGGATTTGCTTGCCTCATTAGTGGTAAATCATTCTTTGGAAACCTCAAACCAAAATCATATGATTCATCTTTATGAAATTTCTTTTGTCAACTAACAAACAAACTCATTGCCCTCAGATCCTGAGCCCCCAGTACAAGAACAAGCTTTGGCCCTCCTCCGTAATCTTGTTGACGGATGTATCAGCTCAATCGAGTTTGTATTTGATGAAGATGGTCTTATCTTAGATACTGTTGGGAGGCAATTGAGGAAAGCTCCACAAGCTCAAATGGCAATACAGGTGACAAAAGTGAAAAAGTATTACCATATAAATAGATTAACAAAATCTCTGATATAAAATGTTTTTCTTTCCCTAGGGAATGTATGTGCTCACGAATGTAGCGAGTGGGACTGAGTTACATAAAGAAGCGGTTATGCAGCAACTGTTTCCCCAAGCCAAAGCTGAATCAGAGAATTTCATGCTTAACTTTCTGCAGAGCGACGAGAGCCAGTTACGGTCAGCAACAGTCTGGACAATCATAAACCTCATTAGTCCTTCAAGTCCAGGTGCATTTGATCGGCATGTGAAATTACGGAATGCGGGTGTCATTCCCCAGTTAAAAAACATGGTCAATGACGCTTGCCTCGATGTTAAGGTACAATTTTATTGCTCTTTTAGTTACCTTGTATACTTTATCTCTTATCATTGACTCAGTTATGTTCTTTCAATCTCTTTGGCTTTGCAGATTCGCATCAGAACCGTATTAGGCCAGTCCATGTCTTTTGGCGATAATTACTAAACACAGAGACATTACTTTTCCCAATCCCATACAACATTGAACATATCAGTAGTGATTTAGGTTTGATTCAAATTTCAGCATATAGCAAAAGAGAGACAGAGCCTAGAGTTTATGATCATGATCATCTATTATCTCTCCTGTTCCAGAGACACACCTATGATTCAACAGGTACTTGCTTTCTTGGGCTCGTTCTTTTCATTTCTAGTTACTCGAAAATGGCCAAAACTGAAACTGGAACCGCGTACACCGAACACTTGATCAGAGCATTTTAAAATCATTGCCTTAGGATTTATTCATTTGCTTACCAATGATGTGATGTTCTGTTCTGTTTAACAAAACAGTTTTTTTTTGTGTATGCAGGTGAAAGCAGTGAGAAAGAGTTGTACTATTACTTGTGAGTTGTGATACATTTTAGATTAGATCCACCACATATTTGTTTTATTTTTTCTTTTTGCCTTGAAAGAACTTCACTTATTTGTATTTTGTAATCTCTCAGTTTATATCAACATTTAAAAACATCTGAGTTTTGTATAAGTAATTTTTTTTTTTCTCGTCAATACCAATAATTTATGGTAATGTCCCAAATTAATCTTTTATTTTCGCATTTTGACATTCAAATGACGCATGACCTATCAACTTTCGTGACAAAACATAAAATCAAAATCAGAAAAAGACTAGCTGCCTGTGTAATATACTATACTAAATTACTAATATGTTTGTCTTTATGTAAAATGGCCTTTGAGAATCTAACTCGCCGTATGTGCACAGTGAATCCTATGTTTTGGATCCCCTGATAAGATCCAGCCTCGACTACTGTGTAGCTTTTTTTTTGCTATAAAATATTTCGCTCGTATATAAAAAAAAATTGTATCGACTATCGAACAGTTACCACAACTGTATAAATTCAAATTGTTAAGAAAAATCTCTATATATACATATACACAACTGTATGCTATATATACATATTAATTTCTCTCGTAAATTTTTTTAAAAAAATCGAACAGTTACCAGCTGAATTGTATAAATTCATATTTTATATATACATTTTTAAAAAATTGCAGAGACAAGAATCTCAACTAAACCCAAAAAGGGTTAGTTGGTTAAAAGAATAGGGTTAGTTGAAGTGTAGAAACCCCATGCATTGAATTTAAATCCCATCCCATCCCATCCCACGTGAGTTTATATTATTGCATCAAAGTTTTTGAGTTAAATGATATTTTATTCTTCATGGAATATGCAGTTCTTTATCATTTTATTAAGAAAAAATATCGTAAGGCTATAAACAATATGCAACAATTATAATTACAACCTAAATACCTCCAAAGTGTTTTTGAAGACAAAAACATCTTAATCATCAAATTTGAGACTCTTCTCTCGGGACCTCTCTCTTCCTTTAAGTATATTTTCCTTTCCCATACTGTTGTCTTGTTTTAAAAAAATTACTAATTAATACATATATGTTCAAATGTTCTATAAGTTGTGGGATGTAATTGAATTTATTATTGAAAATAGTATATGCATGTGAACATTTATACTGTTAACATTTAATAATTAACTTCTTCACATATGCATTTGAGTATATAAATCTACAAGTAATGTTAAGATGGATTCTTGAAATGGCTTCCTAGCAAAAAAATAAAATAATAATAATAATGTTATAGCAAATATATATAGTGTTTGTCTTTTACCGCAAACTTAACATGCATTCGAAATAACAACACAACAGATAATTTCTTCCGTAATTTGATACCATCTTCTTTGAGAAAAGTGTTTTCTTCTTAATTTAATATTGTTGAAATTATTTTATTGGTACATGTTAAAAGGAGATCTACATGCTGGTTTGTTTTTCTTTATCTTCTTTTTCTTGATATATTCATCTAGATTCTTTTAGCTTATTAGGAGACAACCAATTAAATAATATATAATATAAACCTTTTTTTCAAATATCATTTACAAATATACTATCACATTAGGAACAAATTCTTGATAAATATTTTATTATTAAGAAAATCACATTGCGTTAATCGTATAAATAGTATTTTCTAAAAAATGGATGGAAATTAAAGTGATATTAATATTGAAAAACGACTGTGAAATGAGGAGATAATTGATAATTCTAAAACACTATCATGTATATATATTTTTCTTCTATGAATATTTAAGAGTTATATTAATTGATATGCATAGAAGACTGAAAAGTTAAAAATCTATCCCTACTTATTTTTTAATTAGTTCTCTTTTCTTTGACCCAATTAATACCCAAACCACCCTCAATTATTTGTGAGCGCTGACAAAAATAATAACAGGATAAATCATATTGTATCACGGTAACTTTAAAAGTTATATGGTTAACTTATATTTATCGTACTAAAATATTTATCATATGATTTTTATCAACTAACTTATATAATAAAATATTTATTTATTTTAATAATTTATTTATTACCGCTAACTTATACATTAACAGATTTATTTATCATGATAATTTGTTTATCACAGTTAACTTATGCATTAGCATCGTTAACTTATGCATTAGCATATTTATTTATCATGATAATTTGTTTATCACGGTTAACTTATGTGTTATCGTGGACGTAAAAAGTAATAAAATCTCCTTCTCTTCTCGAGTACCCTCCTCTGTCGTCATTTTCCCAAATTTTCTTCTTCTTCCATTGTCACCTGCAACTCCATCCCATGATCACCTCACCACTTTCTCTTCTTCTTCTCTCCTCCTTATTTCCTTTATCTTCGTCCTCTCCATCTTCATTTTAAATTACAAAACCATAATTTTCATCCTAAATTCTTCAAATTAAAAGTTTAATCCATCCCAAACGCGTGTAGATTCTCTCTATTTTTGTGAATTATTTGGTGATGATTGTATGTTACATATCAAAAAGATGAATTTGATGAACCAAATGAAGAGTTAGATATAAAATCTGTTTGTGAAGAAAAAGGGGTGACGATGAAGAAAGAAGAAGATTTGGAAAGGGGAGGATTTGAAAGAAAAACAGATAATTAGGTGTGTAGAAATAGGGTAAAATGGTAAAAATATCATTCTCTCTTATCTACTTAATTAATTAAAAAACATGGATAGATACTTAATATTTTGGTCTTCTAAGCATAGATATTGATATTATTCAATATTTAAATGAAAAGAAGAAAATAAAGCGTACCCATTTCACATTTCACAGTGACTTACATGCATTGATCGTCCATCAAAAAGAAACCCTTTCTCTTTAGTTCCAAATACTAAGCAATCTCTTCTTTTTTTTACCTTTTTCTTTCTTGGCTTTTTCTTCTCCTCTGATAGAAACTTTTTCCAGTCAAAATTTAAGAACTAATTTAAAGTAAAACTCCACTAAGGTTTATAAACACTCTTCAAATATAGATTCACATTCACCCATTTCCATTTTTTTTCTTGCTCTCTCTCTCTCTCTCTTATTTTTGGTCTCAAAAATGGCATCAAAAGGAAAGAAACCAATAAAAAAAACAACTACAAGAAGAAGAAAAAGAAGCCATTTCAAGAACCCATCTCCTCCATGTAGTACCAATAGTGACGTCACTTCAACGTCATCAACATCTACTTCTCCCACATCAATGGTCACGCCATCTTCGATTCCAGTAGAGAGTGGATGTTGTACTCCGAAATCTGAGAAGTCACGAATACCGGAGATGCTGACGTGTCCGCCGGCGCCGAAGAAGCAAAAGGTGGCGCAAAACTGTTCTTTGAGGAGGAGACAAATCGCTTTCTTTGCTCCTCCGGATGTAGAACTCTTCTTCGTTTTCGCACTTGGTCAACAAATCAATAAATAAGTTAAGTTTATAATTAGGGTTTTGTGATTATTATCATGGTATCAATATCTAGTTTCTAGTTTGATTCAAATACAATAATATTTAAAGTATATTATAGAGAGTGTAGTGTGAGGTTTTGCTTCTTAATATTTTGCTTTTCTTCATCATTCTTTTTTTTTCCTACTCTTTTGGATGATTTTGAATTAGGTGAGTTTGAATTTGTGGTAGGGTATTATCAATCAAATACCCTCTCTTTTTTAGTTAGTTATTTTGTGTTTTAATTTTGTAACTGAATGGTGCGTCCTAACATTTCAGGCTTGTTAATTAGCTTTGCAGTTTTGAATCTGATATTTGTATTTTGGTTTTATTACGAGTTGGATTGTTCTTCTTATACTTTATGGTTCTCCTCAATAATTTATTTGTAACCTCAACCAACACGAATTGCATAAAAATTAAAGTACTTGGAATCTATTTCATTTTTATTGGGTACATAAGAAATTCATGAAAGGACACCAGTTTTATCAGAGTGATGAGCTCAAATTCAAAATTTTTGATCCAAGTTTAAAATGCGTCAAGTGCGAAAGAAAAAAAAAGGTCTACAAAGCCAAAAAAATATATAGTGGATGCAGAATAATATGTACACAAAAGTTTTGGATATAATCCAAAGTTATAAAAAGATTCAACTGTTTCTTATTGGATATAAAGTTTATAAAAATTGAAATATTACTGCGTAAATCTATTTGGAAAATAAAGACATTGTCAAATCACCTTATTTGTACTGTAATTATATAGATTGAATTTAGTTTCTAAGTAAAAAAAAATAGGCGAAGGATATGTCAGTTTAACCAAGGGATGGCCAAAGTGTCGGAACTGACGATAACATCTCCAAAGGGAATCCAATGAAAGGACTCGTGCGGCTTTTTTCATCATTTTTCTCTTTTCTTTTTTTTTGTTTTCTCTCCCACACTTCCTTTTAAGAGCAAAATTAATAATTATAACTTATAACGAATGTATAAAACTATATATCTATATATAGAGTAGGTAAGAATATGACGACACTGACACAATAGCTACGTTACGTTGATAATATCTACGTGATTTAATAATTCGTTTTTCCCATCATTAATTTCTTTTCGAATTATTGTTATAAAATCTTCAGACTTCAATAATGTGGATAAATCCTAAAATGACGTACGAATCTCATGATTGAGAACTAGAAACTCTACCTGCATTATTTATTCGTTTCTACGTCAATTAATAGGTCACTTGAGAATGTACGTACAACATAGATGGGAGAATCTGCAGTAGAAAAAATCATAAATGTTTGGCTAGTATATTTTAGGAGATTTTACAGGAAAAACGGTCTATTTTTTCCCCGAGAACTATCGTATCTGGCCAGATAAAGCCCGATCTTTGACCTTTGTCTATATACCCATGAAACAGAAGTTAAATGTTTATTTCCCCACCAATTGAAAGTTTGAGATCTTAATGTCCATGAATCCTAAGTTAGAGATTTAAAACCCCATAGTGCTGGGTTTAATTGGTTTACTATATACCAAACCGATGCTTGAACCACGTTAACCTAATTAGAACCAGCCTTAACCCAATTAACAACCCGTTTATGACCCATTACCCAAAAAACAAATCGAAACCTAAAACTAAAACCTAAATTGAATTGCTCTCGACGAACCCTAGAATCCCCAAATCACTTTTCCCCGAATTTGAACGATGTTGTTAGCCCTTCACGACCCTGATCTTGTTGGTGATGTCGATCCCGAAGCTGAAGACAGAGATGAGTTTCACATGGAAGAACTGCTAAAGGAGTGGACCGACGAACCACCAATTCGCCACGATGTGTACCCGGAGAGTGATGATGAGGAAAACGCCGACGGTTCTGGAAGATTTGACACACATATATCAGGCGTGGTGATGGGTTTTTGTACCACAAGCAGAGTTTTTTCAGTGGGGTTGCGTTCAAAGAGGCGGTAGTTGATTACGCTCTCAGAACCGGCTGCAATATAAAGCAGTACAGGTATGATTCCGATAAAATTGGGTTCATATGTGTTGGTTGTGATGGGAAAAAAGGTGGAGCTAAGTGTGAGTGGAAAGTTTATGCGGCCATTCTCAAGAGTGATAATATGTGGAAGATTATGAAGTTTGTTGACACACATAGCTGTATCCCTAATGGAGAATTTTAGATGTTTAAGGTGCCACATATAGCTAGGTTATTTGTTGATAAGATTAGGGATAGTCCTGAATTTTACATGCCCGCAAAGATTGAAGAAATAATTATGGAACAATGGAAGATTAGTATCACTAGGAATCAATGTCAGTCTGCGAGAAAGAAGGCTTTTCAATGGATTGAGAAAGAGTATGATGATCAATTTGCAAGATTAAGGGATTATGCGGCTGAGATAGTTAAATCAAACAAGGATTCACGGGTTGAAGTTGAATGTCTCACGAGTGCTAAAGGTAAAGACATGTTCAATCGGTTCTATGTATGTTTTGACAGTCTTAGAAGGACATGGAAGGAGTCTTGTAGGCCTCTAATAGGCATTGATGGTTGTTTTCTAAAGAATAAGGTTAAGGGACAGTTACTTGTAGCCTTAGGTAGGGATACAAACAATCGCATATATCCTATAGCTTGGGGAGTTGCTAAAGTAGAGAACACAGAAAACTGGGTGTGGTTTATTAAGCTGCTGAAAGAAGACTTCGGATTAAGGGATGGTGAAGGCTTCATCATGATATCAGATAGGCAAAAGGTAGCTTACCTTGTCTTGTATTTGTTTTATTGTCATTTGTGTCTGTTTAGTGTTATCTAATGTTTGTCTGATTTTATTGTTTTAGGGTTTAATCAAAGCGGTTGAGCTTGAGTTACCCAAGATAGAGCATCGGATGTGTGTACAACACATCTATGGGAACTTGAAGAAGATTTATGGCAGCAAAACAAGGATAAAACCACTGCTATGGAATTTGGCTTGGTCTTATAATGAGCATGAGTATAAGCAGCATTTGGAGAAGATACGGTGCTATGACACTAAGGTCTATGAGTCTGTGATGAAGACAAATCCTAGGAGTTGGGTTAGGGCATTCCAAAAGATAGGCAGCTTCTGTGAGGACGTTGACAACAACAGGTCTGTTGAATCCCATACTCACACAGGTTAGCTACTCTATTAAGCCTTGTTATTTCTCTGATTTTGACTTTAAAGCATACAATGGTGAGGATTGCCAAAAGGTCTGTTGAATCCCATACTCACACAGGTTAGCTACTCTATTAAGCCTTGTTATTTCTCTGATTTTGACTTTAAAGCATATATTTCTCTGATTTCTCTGATTTTGACCTTAGCTACTTTTGACTTTAAAGCATATAGTCAGGCATGGTGGAGATCTTCACCGTGTAGACTTGAAGGCTTACACTTGTACCTGCATCAAGTGGCAAATTTGTGGAATCCCGTGTGAGCGTGCATATGGTGTCATCCTCCACAAGAAGCTTGAACCAGAGAACTTTGTATGTCAATGGTTTAGGACAGCAATATGGAAAAAGAATTACACGGATGGCCTCTTTCCACAAAGGGGTCCTAAGTTCTGGCCCGAGAGTAATCGTCCGAGAGTGTATGTATCTGAGCCACCAGAAGGAGAAGAAGAAAAGAAGATGACAAAGGCTGAGAAGAAAAGGAAAAAGGGTGTGAATGAGTCTCCTACTAAGAAGCAGCCAAAGGCTAAGAAAAGAATTATGCATTGTAGAGTTTGTGAGGCAGCTGATCATAATTCAAGACACCATAAGAAAGACAAGGTTTGTGGTTAGATAATCTATGACATTTTGGTTCTCTCTTGTTGGATTATGGTAACACTTAGTCTTCTTTTGCAGGCTTCAATTTCTTCTTCGCAGCCATCTCAGCCTGAACCAAGTCAAGGTTCACTCACTCAAGCTTGATCTAGTAGTCATAGCTTAGAAGAACTAGGGTAGAAGACATAGGGTACTTATATTGTGGTTGTCTCTGATGTAATTTTCGACCACAGTGACTTATTTGTATCCTTAACTTCTTTATTTTGAATCTTTCGGTTGATTGTTGGCTTATTTGTATCCTTAACTTCTTTATTTTGAATGGAATGTTTAAATTTGGATATTGCTTTCTTCCTAATTTCTCTAATAAGAACATGCATTGTCATTAACTTAAACACATAAACGTACAAACACAAATCCCACAAAGCTAGAACAAACATACATTCACCAAACATACCAAGATCATAACTCCAAACCTAACACATTCATCCTACAAGTTTAGAGAATCCGATCATGATCATACACCCTAACACTACGACAATCATCATCTTCTTATTGCTTGTTTTCGCTTCAGACAAAGCTTCTTCTACTTTCTCATTCAACTCCTTCTCCATGTTCATTTCAACCTTCTCAGAAACCATCTTCTCAAACTCCAACCTCTCTCTTCTAAGCTCTTTCAGCTCCTTCTCAATTTCACCATGCTTTGCTGTCAATGTATCTATCTCATTGATCAAAGCTTCATCAACCCATTTAAAAACGTGATCATCGTTCCTTAGCTTCATCAACACATGAACAATGATCTTTTTCAAGATTACAAGAATCTAAAATATGAAAACATAGGAATTAGATGAAATAGAGGATTGAAATTACCCTATTTTTTGCAGAAAAACCACAATGAAAGTATCTCCGGCAAGGATTCGGATCGGATTTTGAATTGAGTGCCACGATTCCTTCCCCGCACCAGCATCTTGTTGGCACTCCGACCACTCTTCCTCTTCCACGTGGTCCCGTTGATCCCGTCGAACTGGATGATAGGTTGCTCATTCTAAACTGGAAATTGGGTTTTCAATTCGAAAATTGAGAGTTCGAAAATTAGGGTTCTTAATTTTGAATTTGGGGATTTTTCTTTTTGGGAAGACAACGACAATGGGTCGGGTTTTTAATAAGGAATCGTTTTTTTTTTTGGTTGAGTTACGACCGAAATATGGTTCCGTCTCGGGTTTACGCACTAAACCGTCGAAACCAGGATTCATGGACATTAAGATCTCAAACTTTCAATTGGTGGGGAAATAAACATTTAACTTCTGTTTCATGGGTATATAGACAGAGGTCAAAAATCGGGCTTTATCTGGCCAGATACGATAGTTCTCGGGGGGAAATAGACCGTTTTTCCGATTTTACAATTACATACTTCCTCCGTTTTTTTATAAGTGATGTTTTAAGAGAATGCATACAGATTAAGAAATCATTTAATTTTTGTTTATTTCTAAACTAAAACATCATTTATTCTCTAATCAACCAATAAAAAAAACAATCTACAGAATAAAATCGTCAAAACCAATAAAAAATAATTAATTTTGAATTGAAAATTGAAAACATCATCTATTTTTTTTTTGGTAATCTGAAAACATCATCTATTTAAGAACAAAATTAGAATCTTAAAACATCACTTATAAAAGAACGGAGGGAGTATTTATTAATTTTA